CAAAAGAAAAGAAACGCTATTTTTCGCAGCTCTATTTAGCCAAAAGATCACGTTACTGCAGATCCAAAAGTTGACTGAAATTTGTCTTTGTATTAACTCCGGAGAAGATAAAAAGCATGCAATGTGAGACAATGATGATGTACCCATAGGCAAGCAGAAAGGAAATATCAGGTGGTTATCAGAATGTATAAAGCATTTTTTTAAAACAAATTTTGTGAAATCTGTAATTTCTTTGCTGTTTGCTTGTTTCTCTTTGCCTCACATAAAACTTTCATTTATTTCTTAAAAAAGTTAAGCGCACAGTTAACTGGAAAAACGGTCGGTACCGCAGTTATTTCGGATTAACTGTATGCCGAACCGTCAGCTTTTACGCTGTGTTGCTATGGTTTCAGCTGAAATAACCGCGGTTAACTGACGGTTTTCGAGCGTTTTTCACGACATGGAATGCCACTAAAGTAGACTGTCATTGTTATGGACAAAAACAAACAGATAGCATTTTTATGATGTAGTAAAGAAATGAAATAATTTTAAGACTCGGTCTGTGTCTCACATGCGTCAGTGAGCCTACAGGTGTGTTTTCATCTGTTAGATTGATGCCCTTTCATACTCCTCGGGTATGCACGACATAGTAATTTTTAGTCATCTGTCTTCCGGGAGCGCATTGGTCACTCATAATTTGAGTTTTTCGAGTTTCACTCGTTCTGTTATCGTTTCATCCTTTTTATAAAGTGTTGCACACTGAAAGACGGAAATATCAGTCATCTTGAACAAAAAGTATGAAGAAGCACTAGTACAGAAAGAGTTCTCGGAGGGAAGGTGGTTCTACAAAAAACCGACATGGTTCCTGGAACTATCAGTGTTCTGAGAATTACAGTTAATATTAGACACATTGCATTTTCAGAGCATGTGCTACGATACTCATATCTCTACAGAAAATCACTGGAAAAATCCAAAACGTGTCTCACTGTTAAGAGAACACTTTGCTTTAGCACACTATGGGTAATAAGACACTGAAAAGAAAAAATTTAAGAAACTGGAAAAATTGAGTTTTACGCTTTTTGAACAAAAACTTAAAAAATTACTGATTGTTGGAAAAAAAAAGATTGTGGAAGACTGTGGTGCACTTTTGTAGTCCAGACTTTTCTATATATTAGGCTATGTTCAGCTTAAAATTGGAAAAGAAGGCAAGGGTTCTCGTAAATACGATACAAAATTTTACTCGATCCTTGTGCATTTCAAGGTTTAAACCAATAAATTTTGATCTTTTCATCATTAGATGCCACGCATAATTTATCAGCATAGTATTGTTCATAACATATTTCTTGCGAAAATGACTAGATTTAAAAAATAAATGAACATGAAGAAAGTACGAATAATAAGCGAACATGTGCAAGACTAAGAACAACTAACCATTTGTCTGTACAAAATAAGTGTCAAAAAAAATAATAAACTAAATGAAATTTGATACTCTTGCTTATAAAAAGAACAAAAGTAGAATAGAATGAACAAAAAATATATATATATAAGTTAAATATACTACAGACAACTAATGTTTTCTCTTTTTAGCCCGTATAACATGCGTAAATGATTTGCCCTTTTTTCTTAATGTAAATGTTAGACATTGATCATCCATAAAACGCATCAAATCCTTCGATTGAATTTTAATATTTAGATCTGTTTTTAATTTTTTATGAAAATCTTCAAAATCAATTGGTTCATAGGACAGAATAGACTGATAGAGTTCATCGTTCGATTTGATATAATCAAATATTTTGATCAAATTCAATTCAAGTTCATTTGCTTTTTGTTTTTCTTTATCAACCTGACTAATTGCTTTTGTTTTTTTCTTCTTTTCACCACTTAAATTTGTACACGATGTTGTTTTAGTTATTCCCGATGGTGGAGAGGAAGATAACTTTTGTGGAGCTAAAACAAAAAGCTCATTCATTACAGTTTCATCATTTTTAACTTCTAATGAATTAATATTTATCGCTTACATGTTGTTATGGTCGTCGTTGTTGTAGGAGGCTCAAAATCTTGAAGTGATGATAAAACATCGTTAATTGTTTGTATACTGGTTTTTATTTCATCATCATGAATCTGTCTTTTTTCTGGTGAAGTTGCTTTGGATGAACCCGAAGAAGATGAAGAAAATTGATAGACTGTTTGTTCTAAAAATTTGCCTTCATGGCTCGAATTGCTATGATTATTTTCAGAACTGTCATTTTCATTATCAGCATCATCAGTCGTTGTTGATGAAATTTTGTTGAGAAGATTAGTTGCACTAGTAGACGATTGTGATTGCTGTCTTGCTCGTTTAGGCTGTTTATATTCGTCTTCATCCGATGAACTCATTTGATGTACGGGACGACGTTGAATCGCTTGTGATCCTTTAAGTTTTTTACTTGGTTTTAAATTATTAACTGCGGGAGTTGGTGGTGTATGACATAACGCTTTTTTATTATCTATAATTGGTGGATCATCAGTTCGAGACCATTCATAATCGGTATCCGTTTCATATTGATGTGTATAATCATAAATTTCATTTAAAATTTTAATCAAACGGGTTTTTGACTGTGATGAAAGAAGACCATAACGTTCGGCTAATTTTTTTATTTCAGATAAATCTAAACTTTTATAATCAGGTTTTGGACTAAATGGTGATGGTGGTCGATATTGTGTCATCGATTTTTTAGAACGTTTTTTGGCTCGATTCCGAGATGTTGTCACCGTTTTTGTGCTTAAATTTTTCGTTGTTACTGAGGTTGATGACGTTGTTACTGTTGTTATCATTTGCGTTACTATTTTTGGCGAATCAATGGTAATTTGAGGCTTGTCTGATATGAGTAATGGTGATTCTTTATCTTCTTTTTCTTCTTCTTGCTGTGGTCGTTGTTGCCATTGAAAGAGTAAATCATCGTTCGCATTATCATACCAATTATCCCATACATGATCATTCTCAGTCACTAAAATTAAAAAATAATATATTTAGAAACACGAGAATAAAACATATCGTTATTTACATTGTGTGTTCTCTGTAGCTTCCTCATTCTCTTGCAAATGTGATAATTTTAAAAATGATTTATTTTTCTTTTGTAATGGGGTATCATCGTCAAGAATAATTACTGATTGATTATATAGTGTATCATTTTGTTTTATTGATAATCTTTGCACTGATTTTATTGGTTGATTTATATCTGTAGAAAAAAAGAACAACAACTTACGGTGATATGTCTAATTGAATAAGAGCAACTTACCATTACGATTAAAATTATTATCCTCCTCATTATTACTGATGCGAGGGGGTGTATAAATATCTGTCAAATCACTATCATTTGCTGATAATTCATGAACGGCATTATTTAATTCGTATGAATCTGTTGACGATGATAAAGGTAATTTTATTTCTTCATTTGAATAGCAAAATTTTTTATTAAGCGATTGATCTGATTCAAAATTAACACTTATCTCTATTATTTCATTATCTTTATCCGAATCACTATTTGAATTACTCATATCTGAAATGAAAGAGAAATAAGACAATGCTCTTTATGACAGGAAACAATAATACAAATAGAGGAGTACGTAGTATTCGATTCACACGAGTCATAATAGAGATCAGTCATGTTCAATTGTTAAATTCATATCTGTGAACTACAGATTACAACACAATACTCAGACTTTCAAGCAAAAAAACTTCTATCCGAACCACTGACTTCATTTTTTCTAAACTTCATAGGTTAACTTATGTTCCTGAGTCAAATATTAACATTTGCTCGTAGAATTTATATTATTTTTCTCAGATAAAATATTTATTGTAACATTAAGCGACAGATAGCAGATATATAGATCTACAATCTGATGAACTGTAATTATAAGGATAGGAATTTCAAAAAAAACTCCTCATAGGATGCAGATTTATAAATAACAAGTGCAGTATATTAACAAAGGAAAATCTTTTTATGTCGCAACTTATTATATTTGAAACGTTTTCTCCATTGTTTTTATTGTGAAAAAAAAACGATATGAATGTACTAAAGGAACTTTCGAATGTAATTCATGCTTTGTGGAAAAAGAATTATAAGCAAGAGAAAAAAATAAAAATAAAAATAAAAACATAGACATAACACGTAAACGCACAGAAACAAATTCTCTGAATGTTAAAAATAACGTGGATGATTCGTTCTCGATTGGAACGAATTGAACTGACCGTGGCATAATTAGACTTGCTGTTGTCGTTCACCTTCGTTTATTGACGTCCAACAATTATGTTGCATAAATACCCTATCATTCATATCATCGTTTTGTGCTAAAACACCAGTGATTTAAGTTACTGAATCCTACCAAAAAAAAACGAAATAAACAAGCATTAAAAACGAAGAGATAATAATATTTTTACGTTCATCTAGTATTGTTATTATCTTCCACCAAGATGTAGCTGATACACAATTGTTTAACGTGAAACTTTAAAATATTCGTAACAGTAGGTGGAACGATCATACAATATCGACGAACGAGTTGAATAAGTTATTTTGTTTACATTTGTTTTTGTAATACTAGATAAAATAAAGAAAGAGATTATCAGTAACACAGATCTACAATGCAAGAATTTGTACGGTAAGTCATCTCGTTGTTATTTTATTAGTTAATGCGAATTTTTCTGTCCGTGTCTGTTCTCTTGCGAAAGACTTAAACAATGAGCTGCTAAATATAGCCAAAAACTTTTTAAGGAAGATACTTTTCGACTGCTTATAGTATGTGTTAAATGGTTTCAATATAGAAAGAATTGATGTTTACATTCAATTTTTTTCCTGTTTTTTCACAATATACTATCTTGAATTTGTTGCTCGTTCATCGACACAATCTTTTGCTAGCCAAATTGACATTATGGTATAGTTCTACGCCGTATTTGATTGAATATTTCTTTAGATGTAGAAGACTTATGTAAATTTTTTCTGTTATTTTGGCAATACTTTTGGTTCATTCGAAAGATAGAGTGTATACTTCATAGCAACTAGAGACACTTTGATTATCAGTTTAGATATCAGTTGTCGTGTATAGAAAAATCGAAACTTAACATTGGTTAGAGAAAGAGGTCGGTAACATTACAATTTTCAGTATAGATATTATAGACCAGAGGATAAGTCAGAGATTGTTGATTATGTTCAATCCAAGTATAAATGGAAGTCACCGCTCATCATTATCATCATCATCATCATCACTCCGCTGCTCTTGAGCAGACGATCATGAAGTCACCGCTCTGGAATACAAAATGTTAATAAAGATACCGATGTAGTTAGTCGATGAAGTTGCGGTACCAATAATTGAGTAAAAAAATATCTGAAATAATTTTATGTTAAATGACCCACTTTTCACTCAAAAGCGGTGTCCTCGATTAATATCAGAATTGAGCATAGTCAAAAGACCTTTGACTTATCCTTTATAGAACTAATTCAGGACGATAGTCGTACCATCTATCGATTTTGATACTCGTTAAAATGACAATATCTACACTGAAAGTTTCATTTGAATACACTTCTTTCTTCTAATCAGTGTTAAGTTTTCATTTTGTACAGACAAAAGCCCATAAAGTTAGTCAGAAATACAATACTAAATTCTCGGTACCAGTATAGGCCTAATGAGGGAAAGACAGTCTCTCGAAAGTCAGAACCCTTATGAAGAAAGTTCGTAACTTATTTATATGCTGTTGTATTTTTTATCAAAAGAATTACGAAATTAAATACTGTTATATACTTAAATAACTCACATGTTTCATCTGTGAATATTGAATAACGTGTTCTAAACGTTTGTTAAGTGCCAGATTGTAACACAATTTGTTACATATTGGTACCTTCCTTTTTTTTGTCTTATGTATAAACATATGTATAGATAATAAATCCAGTATATGACGATTATATGCGAAGGCATATTTAAAAAGACTTTCATGCTTCGACAGACGATTAAATGTTGTTTTCCGTAATCGTTTCATTCAAATTCGAAAAATATAATTATCTTTAAAAACAACAATAAGCAAACGGGAGACATACAATTGAATTTAGTACACATCGTGGAGACGAGATAGAACGGCAACGAAAGACTTAGATGCGTTGACATATCTGAATTTCTTCGTTAGTCAGCAGTTAGACCAAATAGTTTCATGTAGTTTCCTCATATTTTACGTAAAAGAAATATTCTTTCTTACATTTTAGTATACTGAAAAACGTTCCAAGTCAGTGACATAAAGTGTGCATTTCAAAATTAAAGTATAAATTGTTTTTTTAACTCGAGACCTCTTTTTCATTATTTTGGCAATCAAACAATTTTAAAGCGGTTATATTCATTTTGACAATCCAAAATATTACCGTTATACTCAAAAAACGTCTTCTAGAATAAAAGAACAACCGTTTACATGAGACTACAAAAAAATAATCGTGAATACATAGAATGTTCACTTTTAACCAGAAGAAAAAAGTTTGAGCTTAATGACAGAAAACATGTTTTCGCAGAGGAGAAAGAGAAAAGAGTAAGAGGATATACGCTTAATTAAGCTAAACAACAAGAGAAATAAAAAAATAAAGGATTTTCTTTCGGCAAAAGTCACTCGGGTCAAAATCCATAAAACGAGCACAGAAAAACAATGATTAAAGTAAAGTCATTGTAGAATATCTTCCGAAAACAAAGCGCAACACTAGAAAGTGTGATTGCATCGATAATCAAATTGTAGGTGTAAAATTATTCGACGTGTAGACAAAAACTAACGGACGGATATGCGAATACGTATGAACACCGTCTAAGCATACCAATCAAGCACGCCGTCATCATCGTCCATTGTATCGTCTTCATACAGTCCATCTAAGAATATGTAAAAAAGTTATTTGAAGAAGAACATACATTAGTTTTCGCTTAAACAACTGTACTTACCGAAATCGTCCTCATCATCTTGCCAGTTATCATCATCGCCAAAATGTTGAGCTAATGTGGAATTTGTTTGTTCTTGTAATGGTGAAACAGATGATGAATCATTTTCAAATGAATAAACAAATGGAAAATAGGACGAAGTTGTTGTTGTTTCAGTTTCGGATAATGTCTGTTGTGACGATAATGGAGATGGGATTGGTGTATCAATTGTTGATGTAGATATTGAAACATTATCTTGTTGTTGTTGATCACTGTTTTGTTTGTCATTTAAATTACTTTTATATTGTAAATTGGGTAAAGCTTTGATTATGACTGAATGTTCATCGTTCATCGTTTTTTCCGGTGCAACAACACCGGTATTTGATGTTTTTGGTTTCCAGGTTATTACAGATGTAAAATTTTTATTATTATTCGTTTCTGTAGTCGATGTTACTGGTTGTTCTTGTTGTTTTAAATCGTATTTCAATAAATGAGCTAATTTTGGTTTTATTTTTAAATCATCTGGTTGAAGACGATTAAGTTCTTTTTTCAACTCATTCGAATGACGAATAAGTGATGCACAATGTTGATTAATCGATGTACTCAAACGTTTTTCATTTGAATTTTCACCACTTAACTCACGTATCCAACTATCACATTGTTCCATTATTTCAACTGAAAAAGAATAAATGATTTTCAATAAATTGACTAGATCAATAAGAAACAATTGTTACCTCGTTTAAGAAAAAAATGACGTTTAATAATATCCTTAAAACAAGCGGGAGGATTTCGAATCTGTTCTAACATTGCCCATCTGACTGTTGCTTGACGTATATTAGCATCATATTCCAGTGATTGTGTATTACCCGTTGGTGTACCACGTGTTCGTTCATAGCCCGGTTCATTGAAATATGGCTCAGGAACGAATATAAGTGACTGAATTGACACAAGCACCTAAAATAATCAAGCAAAACTACTAAGTTTATGCTATCAAAATATAGACTCTTTACACTAATCAATAAGTAGGTTCTCTTATCATAATTAGGGATATTGTTGAAACAAAAGCCATTTTTGTGATTATTAGTATCGGATTAATAATTTTGTAGACATTGAAAGAACGATTCTTACCTGTAAAAATGTTGAGGTTGCATTCCATTTTTCTTCTGGTCTACCGTGCCATGTATTCAATATACTTAAACATACTTTCCCATCATTATATAAATTTGGATTAAATCGAACGGTATGATTTCCTGTTGTTTCAAGATTGATCGAAGGAGGTACCGATGGATATTCATTTGGAAAATAGACATCAAATACAAAACATCCATTAGCATATGGCGTTGAATCGGGTCCGGTCATCAGCACTTTCATTATATCCATCCTATTTTCGTCTGTTCTCACAAATATTGTTGAATTATAGGATAATGGTAATGATGTTGATATAGTAATTTGTTCTTGTGCTAAACGTTTAATTCGTTGCATAGAATTAATTGCACACGAATCACGTACACTATCTTCATAATGAAATTTCATTAAAAATTCTAATTTTCCATTATCATTATTTTCTTTTGTTATTTCATATGTACTAAATTGTAATGGTTTCATTGTTTTACAATAAAATACGTCTAATGTAATATCATCATTATCCGTATCTTGATCATCTGTACTAT